ATAAGCTGTGTTCAACAGTTTTTTGTGACATTTTTACCAAGCAGGAAACATGCTGCATGCTGTTCTCTTACATCAGCCATCACAAAAAACGAGGTTCGAAGAAAACTGCTTTAAGAAAAGATATGACCAGAGAGAACCTTCCCAGGCAACATCACTGGGTGCACTAACAGAGTGAGTTGCTTGATGCTTGCCTAGCGGGAAAAATGCATACTATGAAAGCTCTGCTCCACCCAGCACAATTCTGGTGTTTTCTTGTAATCCTCGTATGTATTTATTGGCCAACACTATAATTAAAGTGCATCAATTCTTCTATTGCCTTCATTATTTGTTGTCCACTTTCACGTGCATATGCAGCGACTGAAAGCATCATGGTTTGAGTCAAACACTCCTCAGTACATCTTTTGACATATATAATTATATTTTGATATCTTGAGTGCTTCCAAGAGTGTTGATTGTGAAACCAAGTGCAACGATATCCTGACAGCATCACTGTTTTCTCCATGATATTGCTTTATTAGTCTAATAGTGAAGATTTTTGTTTTCTTTGTATTGAGCTGTATCCATACCAAAGGCTATAGGCCTTGATCTTCATCAGTGCTTCAAATCCTCATCATTTTCAAGAACCAAGGCTGTATTATCTACATATCTCAGGTTGTTAATGAAGCTTCCTCCAATCTCGATCTATTTTCCCTCGCACAGTCCAGCTTGAATTATGTGCTCAGAATACAGATTTGAATAAATATGGTAAAAGGATAAAATTGCAATGCATATCTTTCCTTATTGTACACCATATAGTATTCCCTTGTTCTGTTGGAACAATTGTCTTTTGGCCCATGCGCAACTTCTGCATGAGCACAATAGTGTTCTAGAATACTGACCAAATATTTTTGGTACATGACTGCATTTATCTTCTTTTGATGCTTTCCGCATCATTCAAAAGTTTGCCCATAGAAACCTTTCGGTGTTGCAATCTGAGACTTCAATATCTAGGGTTTTTTGTACTTGACAAATGTCAAGCATGATCTTCCCTTTTGGTTTTCTAACTCTAGGTTTTGCATATTTCATTATAATACATACTTTATCTTTGCAAGCTGTCCCTTGATAGCTGTTCAGCTCTTTTACGTCATCATTTCTTCAGCTTAATTTAGCTACTTTACCTCCTACAGCAAGTTTTAGAATCGCTTCTGACCTCCATTTTCAATTTGTTGTACGGTGGTGGCTTGCATGTTGCTGGAAGCTGCGCCAATAGCATTTCAAATATTAATTGAAGGAGGGACCAAAAATGTATTATTCTGGAGCTTACACTCAAAATACCTTTGGCAGTCATGCACTATTATAATCCGTATTTTATAGATGAGGTTATGGAGACCCAGTGAAGGTTAGAGATCTATGCCACGTAATACAGTTAAGAGTCTGTACTTTAACCAACATGCCAAGCTTACCCACTATCCTATAAATAATTATTTGCTAAGATAAAAGTAAACAACAATGAATACTGCCAGTGCTCCCCTTACAGAAGGGCCGGGGGAGGCAACGAGCCAGCAGGGTGCAGTATAGCAATGATCAAACATACAACTTTCCTATAGTTCCTAAATGCTTCCTCCCACCCCACTTTCATGATCCCAATTCTACCTTACAAATCTAGCTAGACCAGAGGATGTACACTGGTACAGATAGGAACTGGAAACACAGGGAATCCAGGGCGGATGAACCCTTCAGTACCAATGGTGTGAGTGGTGATACTGGGAGGGTGGGGTGGATAGGGGGAACTGAATACAAGGATGTACATATAACCTCCTTCCTGGGGGATTGACAACAGAAAAGTGGGTGAAGGAAGATGTCAGACAGTGTAAGATATGACAAAAAAATAATTTATAAATTATCAAGAGTTCATGAGGGAGGGGGGAGCGGAGAGGGAGGGGGGAAATGCGGAGGATACCAAGGGCTCAAGTAGAAAGCAAATGTTTTGAGAATGATGATGGCAACAAATGTACAAATGTGCTTGACACAATGGATGGATGTATGGATTGTGACAAGAGTTGTACGAGCCCCCAATAAAATGGTTAAAAAAAAAAAGAGAGATCTTAAAAGAGCATAAAGCTCAAAGCAGACATTTTTTCAGTAGTTAAGCTACGTGATTGTTTGGGTTTAAGAAGGCATCACGGAATGTTTAAGGTTTAAAGATGACCTCAGGGCAATAGCTTTGAGGAATCTATCCAGACTTGGTGGCCCCCCAAAATCTAGATTCCATAAGAATGTAAAATTCCATTCTATACTTTCCCCCTTTTGATTAGGATTCCCCTATAGCAGTGATGTCAAACTCAAGTGAAATGCGTGCCATTTGGTGTAATAGCAAAATTCACGCGGGCCACATCACATTTACAAATTTTGTAAAATTTATATTTTGAAGTGAGGATTCAGGAATATGGATAGGATAAATTAAAACACTATAGAATTGCTTTTATTTAAACATTTATATTTAATGTTTTTATAAAACTAAAATTATTCTTTTTTACCAGAAATTTGCCAGCGCTTTCCTCCTACTAGTTTTCACTTACTCTTATGTTGTGACTGGAAAATATAACAAAATAACCAATAAAAAACACAAAATGTTGGACACCTGCCAAACGTGATGCACAATCATAATTTTTAGAGGCTTCCATCTAAAAATGTTAACTAGCGCTGCCTCTAGGTATGATTCATAACAGCACAACCCAGAGTGCTCTTTTTAACCTTTTCGCTATTGGGATCTGTTTACATGACGCGACACTGAGAGTGGCAGACATATCACTTCCAAACGTCGCCGGAACTGAGTCAGCGCGTTTATACAGGTCCACAGGCCCCCAGGAAAGGTACTAGGCCATGTGTACACTCGCCTTCAGTAGTTATAGGGTTAACGAGGGAATTGTGTGTCCGGTATTGCAATTAAAAAAAAGAAAGAAAGATAAAACAGCCAGTCCTGGGTATTGACTGACTGCATGTTCTGATTGCTGGGTTGGTAGAGTCTCCCGGCCAATCTCACTGCCACCAAGTTGATTCCAACTCAGAGCCTAGATCTCCCATACAGATACCAAGTTTTTGACAGCAGCAGTGTAATTAGTAGAAATTTTATGTGCTTACCTTCTCCTAAAACATGCACCCAAAAAGAATCATTACCACGGAGTCCATTCTGATGCACAGTGACACGGTGTTTCTAGCATCTCTGTGAAAGCAGGTTGCCAGGCTTTTATCCCATGGGGCCGCTGGTGCCTTTGAAATCACTAACCTTTGTAGCAAACCATGTGAGCCACCCAGGCACCCTGAGCAACACTGAAAAGATGAACAGTGCCCTGAATTAGAAGTCTTTAGCAATGAGTAAAGGTCCAATAAAGAATAAATCCCAGTTTTCATAGCAGCTTTTATTGTTCTTGTAAAAGAGTCCATTTTGGGGGGGGTGGTGAATGCATGCTTTATTTTAAAGTGCCAAAACTCACACAGTTCCCATTAACTTCACATGAGAATTATGGTGAGCAGAAAAATGAATCAACTAAAACATTCAAAGTTACTTCAAAACCTGAAATATTCCTATAGTTACTGAAACAGAGCAAGAGTTTTTCTAATAAATAAACTACTTACCCACTGCCGTCATCGCGACCCTGTCTTGGGTTTCCAAGG